GTGTTTTCTTGTATCTATTTATTATATATATATATATATATATATATATGGAAAGATTATTTATTGCAGCCTTTTAAAAAATCTCGAATTACGTATTTAAGTTGCCATCATCGCAATTCATACGATATAGGGCATTTTTTATAGAAAAAAAGAAATAATCATCACAAAATAAAGAAGTCACGCTGCAAAAAAGTACTAAAAAGTACTGTCGCCTAAATTTCTTCTCCTCAGACAAATATAGGCGTATAAACACAATCTAGCTTGATTGATGCTACTAACAACAAAAGTTTGTTCTTTAAACTAAAGGTAAAAATCCACTTTCATACGTTAAACTTACGTATTCCGTGTCCTTTTATTATATCTTTGGAATGAGGATATCGAAGGTCCACTTCTTTTTTTCCTATTTTTAGGCGTCGAATACAACCTACCATTCCATTATGAACTGCGATGTTATCAAAAATCCTGGAAAAATAAAGAATCAATAGACGTAAACTTATAAGACAAATTAAGCATTGAAATAAGAATGGTAAATATTATTTAAAACAGTCTAAATTTTTCGCAAGTATTGCAAAAAAAGTCGGTAACATTAATATATCTTGTCCAAAAATTATTATTTCGAGAACAAAAGATTAATATTAGTCGATTATCTCAACCAAGAAGCGTTGGCGTTAAAAGAGCCTAACCATCTTGAAAATTTATAGTGTTCTATTTAAATTTTTACTTAAATGCTTACTTTTTCTTAAGTAATCAACTTCCCCAGACTTTTGGGGGGAAATTGAACCTCGTGCAGTATATTTTAATTGATACTATCCCGCTTTTGCGTTGCATCGAAAGTTAAACATGAAAATCTTCCACAAATGTGTCAGTCTATTTCTTATACATTTCTGATGATTGTGGGGTAAAAAAGAATCAGTCATTATTAAGATCATCCTAATAAAAAGTGAATATTTTATATAATGTAACAGGATTTCCGAATCTTAAGGCTTAAGGACCACACTGATTCGGCCACTAAGTTGAAGGAGCAGGACTAAATCATCAGCAAAGGCATTTTCTTAATAAAGAAAGGAGTTATCTCGCTTACCACTTTTAGGTAATTAAAAAAAAAGATTTTTTTCATGGTTATGAAACTGTTAAGCGTTTTCCATGAAATTTCGGTTCCCTTGAATAACTCGACGTAAATATTTTGACTTAACTGCTCAATAACTGTTAATCACGCCCAACATACTGCAGTTTTTGAATGCTCCTAAATTCATGTTTTGGTATTAGACAGCAATTGATTAATAAGAAGTTTTTTCTTATTACGATCACGAGTTTTCAAAAATCAATAACAGAAAAACAGTTAAAGGTAAAAGAAAAAAACATCTCGCAGCAAATTCATGTGGCAAGGTATAAACTTTTCCCCGCAAAATTCCTGTCTCTAGCTCAAAAACTTTTAAAAAGATGGCGTTGTAACTAAAAAAGAGCAACTGAAAATCACATTTTAATTTTTGTTTCAAAATCCTTCAGCGAAAGAAACTAACATTCCGATATTTTCGGCCATTACAATATTTCGTAATCTGAAGGAATTTTTTGTACATCAAAATGCAACGGTCAAAAGAGTCATCCACAGCGTCATCTGTTGGGAAATTTTTGAAATAAAACTAGGAATTGCGGGAGAAAATTTTTTTTCTTACATAAATTTTATTTAAGAACTGTTTTTAAAATACGTCATATTCATTTAGAATATTCTGTACATGGTGTATTACATATCTGGCCTATAAGGCTTGCTATGATGTCTCAAATTAATGATGCTGGTGGACCTGTTTTTCTCACGGTTCTAAGTGCAATTCTAGAACATGCAAAGTAAATTTTATGCAACATCGAGTTACACAATTTTTTTTATTTTATTTTTCGCTGATATACAAACAAATATTAAGTAATTAAAAAAATATTTCTTACTCTTTTCTTTCTGTTGGTATATAACCTAAAAAGAGGTTTTCTCCAAGATCTAAGGACTTTAAAGAACCTTGACTTTTACCAGCAACATCTTGCTGTCCTTCTAGTGCGAGCATTCCCTCTCGTAAATATCTTTTGGCGATTAAACGATGGAATTTACCGAGATGCAGTTTTTGGGGTGACCTAAGAACCACTGCACCATTTCCTAAATTATACCTAATTAATAAATAAATTCAAGTTATAATAATATTCCAGTTATAATAATTCTATTATAATAATTAATGAATTTTATTATAATCATTAATTAATTATAATTTATTGTATTAATTAATTATATTTAATATATTAATTTATTATATTAAATTTCTCATAATAATTAATTTATAATGATATTTATTATTAATTCTATTATAATAAACAATTTAATTAAAAAATTTTTGCTATAATCAGCCAAATAAGTTTTAGTTAATATTTTATTTATTTTCTAAAACATGTTTTAAATTAAATTTTGCTTTCAATAATGCAGAAATATTAAATGGGGCGTTTTATATCCAGCGTATGTTTGTAGTGAAAATATTAAGTCTGAAATAATTTATCAAATTTTTGATGAAGATTTAAAAATAAAATGTTTAAAGTCGAAGCCCTTCTTCACATAAAATGCATAAAATAATTTTCTGAATACTGTTTTTAAAATTTAAATATATTTTAAAATTATCTATTATATTTCTGATGTTGAATTAAAGAAAATTGCTACACTATTGCAGGAGGTTAGATATAAATGTTATGTAACAACTTAATTGTATCTACAAAAATATTTAAAAATTTTAGAAATAATTGAAGATCTTAGTAGAGGAAAGTTCTAGGTGACAATTTATAAAAAAATGAGATTTTTTTGAGAAAAGATTTTATTAAATCTCATATTCTTAATTTATTTTGTCAGCTTTTAACTTTCGCATATCATAAAGGTAGTAGTTCGTAGTTAGTAGAAGAAATTTCAAGTTTAACAAGCAGTCGACGAATCACTTTAAAATGACTCTCCTTTGCCAGCGAATTAAAATGCCAAGACTAAGTAAGCTATGACACGAACAGTTTAAGTGATTGTAAGGGATTTATAAATGTTTACAATTTAAAATTTTACAAGAAATGAAAAGGTTACTGTCAACCTATAAATTTTAAATTTAATAAAATGTGACATTGAATATCCAACAGCCCTTCTCATCAATTTTTGATATTTTTATAACTCATTTCAAAAGCTTACAGACAAAAAAATTAAAACTTTTCTCGAAAATGTATATCATAACAATTATATAAAGTAAGAAACAAATGCAAACACTGAAGACACATTTGCAATCTTCCTCAATGGCATTTTAGAAAAAAAAATGGTTAATTCATTTATAACTTATATTTTTAAATCATAGTTTAAATAATGCATATAATAAAATATTCTAGACTATTTTAATTAATAATAAAATATTGCTAAATAAAAAAAAATTAATTTCTGGCTAACCTGAATTCTACAAAAGCATCTTTAATCGACAAGGAAACGAAATCTCCAATGCCAGTGGCTGTTTGGCCATTATACAGCAAAATACCATCTTTAGAAAATGTTCGAAATTCCAATTCCAAAGAAAGTCGAGTGTATGCTTGTAGTCTTGGAAGCTCCAAATACGAACGTCCAAAGAATGATGGAATTTCGACAAAATTTTCTTTGTAAAATATAAAAAGAAAAAGTTAAACTTAACGTATACATGTATAAACATGTAACGAAATCCGACGAAATATACATTTCTTATGCAATTTAAAATTATTTCATCAAATTACAACTAAAATTACATTCTTCAAAATGATACAAAAATTTATGTATCTTTCAAAATGTATTATACAGATACTATTCTTAAATAAAATAATAAACTATTTTTTAAATGGAATTATTTCTTTAAAAACGAATTTTATAATTGTGTGCAAAAAGGTTTCGATTCGCTTAAAAAGATCTCGAGCTGTGGTTAAATACGCAAAAAGTGAAATTGACAGCAAGGGGTTGAATTTTTGATCCTCAAATTTTTGGTTTTTAAGAGGTCTAAACTTTCGATTATTCTCCTGACCAAACTATTGTGACCATATGTTGCAGATTGCGTCTACCCATCATATTTTGTTTGACATGAATTCGTCGAAAAAAAAGAAGAAAAAAGAAAAGAAAAGAAAAAGAAGAGAGAGTTATTTAGAGAAAGCGCGTTCTTGTATTTGATTTCATAACTTGAAATGTCATCTTTAAAAATTAATAAGCATATTCAAGGTGAAGTCTTCGAACCATTAAAATTGAGTCATAGTACTTAAAAATCAGATCATTATATCAAAAGTTATGAAAGTTAGGGTGTTCTGTTTCTTACGTCTTCTTTTGCGTACTGTACATATAAATATTTTGATTGCATATTCAAGTACATGAAATTATTTGTCTTTTGTAAATTCATTCGTTCCATAAATATAAACTGCTATAATGGTTGTTCTGTGTTATTTGGGAAACTGCTGTAAAAGACATTTACCGGGATACTAGATAATTTGCAACAGATGTCTCCATCATGAGCTGAGGATTTAAAAAATCCATTAATTTAAAACGCGAGGAGATAGAAAAACCGGTTTGCAGCGTTCTGCTTAGGAAACCAACCGGTTACTTTAAAAACTTGATACGTTGTTCATCAACATCTGGCACTGTTGGTAGGAAAAATTATAAAATTATGTTTTCTGCTGCATGCTTCACTACTCTTACTGAAACAATTGCAGGGAATCTATTAAATATTGCATTACGTAGATGCTGTAATTGGTGGTTGTTTTGGAAAAATTGGTTTTAAATTTTTATCTGTAAGCAACACCATCTGGTGGGGATTTTTTGGTCAATTTTAAAACTAACGGAAAATGAATTATCTAGTTATCTCCATTTACAGAAACCTTATCACTACACAGACATGCACGATATTGCTCTTATTGTTTAATATTACTTCGCTCTTTAGTTATAGGATAAATTTAAGAACTTGGAGGAAACTTTAGATATTAGCCTTTAATATCGATAGTTGAGTAATTTTAAACACTCATTTTGGTGTATGTTGACTCAGCATTGTATTGTATATATTTGCCTATTCGCTTTGGTTGCAGAAAATGTAAGTTTATGTGAAATATTTTTATAAGAATAACATACATTTCGCCAAGTGCGCCATAACGAATAAAATTGGGCGAATCACGTTTAATCCCTTAACAATCATTTCGAACAGTTATTCGAATATTATTTATTTAGAAAAATCGTGAGAGCTATCTCAGGCTTTTTAGTTAAGGGAATTAAATTTAAGAGTAATAAATTTCAAACAATTTATCCTTAAATATGTATTCAAACAATTAATATTCAAACAATCCATCCTTATAAATTGCTAACGTCTTTTCTTAAAAAAAAAATTGTAAAACCTAAAGTTACGCAATAGCTTTGGACTTTATTATTCAAAAAATATAGAATTTCGATATTATTTTTAAATTTAGTATTTTAAAATGAATCTTTTAAAATGCAAACGTAAAGTTTCTGATTAATAAAAAAGAATTTAAATTAACTCCTTTTTTAAACATACAGCAAGCAGTGTTTTGTTGTCAGAGGGACTAGTCACACCTGGTAATACATAATAATTACTTCAATAACTTATAACTTAATAATTACTTTTGAAAATTGTTTTGTAAAAGACCGAAAAAGCCAGAGTTTTAATTTTTTAAATTTAATTTTTTGAAATTAACCTTTTAAAATGCAAACGTAAAGTTTCTAATTAATGAGAAAGGATTTAAACTAACGCAACGAACATTTTTAGCCAAAGAGCAAACAGTGTTTTTAGTCTGAGGGGCGAATTGAACCTGGTAATAGACAAAACTTCGATGACATATAACATAATAATTACTTTTGATAATTATTTTGTAAGATATTAAAAAGCCAGAGTTCTAATTTTTTAAATTTGGTATTTTAAAATGAACCTTTTAAAATGCAAATAAAGTTTCTTTTTATCAAGAAAGGATTTAAATTAACACAATGACCTTTTTTTTATAGCTATAAAGCAAAACAGTGTTTTTTGTCTGGGAACTAGTCGAACCTGGTTATAGTCAATAGTTACTTCGATTACTTATAACTTAATAATTACTTTTGACAATTTGTAACTAAATTATTACTTTTGACAATTTGTAACTAAATTATTACTTTTGATAATTTATTACTTAATATTTACTTCGAAATAAAGGAAATAAACTTTACGTAATATTTTCAAACTTAAAAAAAAAATTACTCTGTTAACTGAGAAAAAAATTAGCCCGATTGGTTGGATTCATCGAAATTCTTTATCCATTCGGAATCAACAAAATAGTTGATTACTACAGTTGATAATAGTTGATTGTAGTTGATTCAATTCATTATGGAGTTAATATAATGTTTTAAAGTTGACATAATAATGCAGAACAAGAAAAAAAAGAGTGAAAATAGTATTGAAAACCAAGTTTTTTTACGTAACATCTTGATAAAGTGCAATTTATGCCTCAGCAGAATTAATATGGAACATTTCAAATTAAGTTCAAACATTAATTCAGATTTTGTAATCTCGTGCTTGAATTTATAAAAAATATCAACTCTTCGATTGAAAATAAAATGAATTTATTGTTAAATTATTAAAACTTAATCGTGGGCAATGCGACTTAAAGCCGGATATTTGCACCGAGACAAGCTAGAAAATATTAATGGATTTTAAGCCATCCAAAACGATGACTTTTCAAGTTTATATTAATTTCTAGTTGAAATGACAACTTTTGTAACAAGAACGTGAGTTTTGAAAGGTAATCATTAATCTTCGAAAAATGAATAACTTTTGAGTGTTCGCAAATTTTAATAACATCGAACGTGCTTTGTTCCTGTACCATTTTCACGTGAATGAAAATGACACGATAAATATTTTACATTTCAAGCACGAGATCTACTCTCATTTAAAATTAAAAGATAAGAAGTTGAATTTAAAAGAAATATTTTTATGGTTGAATATATTGTATCCAGTATGATTGTTGTAGGAATTGTTTGGTAAATGTAAGATGAGCAAAATAAAATACGGTATACCTGAATAACTTTGAAACTATTAGTTGGATTTTCAAGCAATTAAGATGCAATTTTAATTGTCAGAGAAGTAGATTGTAAATATGTTAATTTAATACTCTAGATTATATTTTAGTTTATGAAATCAGTCATAAATATATATTTCCTCTGAATACTTTTTTTCCAATGGATTTGTACTTTAGATTCTTAAAACATAGGGAAAGAGGTAGTTGCAATCTAAAAAATATGGTCTTAATTTAATACTTAAAGCAGGGCCGGGATAGCCTGGTTGGTAGGACGTTGGGTTCGTGTTCGTGAAAAAATGAGTTCAAATCCCCCCGGTCGAAGAATTCCTGTGTATTAAACTGTGACTGATGCACGTTAAATCTGTCGGGGTTACAAAGTCATCCAAGTACCCATAAGAAATCAATACCTCTGTGGCTACTGAATTAGAGATTGATCGTTCGCTGGTTCAGGTCAAAATTACGATCTGTGGATGAATTACTAGTGTGTGATTAGGTCCTCTCTGTAAAAGCAGGCTGTGACGTGTGTGTGGCCGAGGTCGTATTCTTGGCCATAGATGGTGCCACTGAAAAAACAAGAAACGTACCCTCTTCCTAGCTGCAACTTAAGCGGGGTAATGGTTGAACATTTGCGCTGCTATCAGTTTCGATTTTTGCGTATTTTGTGAGATCTTTTGAACTTTTTAGCAAATCAAAAAACTGTTTTATAATTATGATAGCTGAATGATTGTTCATTGTATGAGGTAAAAAAAGTAAGTAATTAATAAATTGGCATATACGAACTCTACAAATCAATACACATAACTGAATAGTGTATACCAATACAATAAATGGTGCTAAAATAATTCAAATGAATTTTTATTTGTAGGAATTCCTGGAGTCTTTACATTATTAGATTATGATAGATTAGATTCTATATAAAGAGAGCTGCAAGTTATTAAACATCACTGATATTATCTTTTAAACATATGAAGAAAAAACCCATTAGAATATTCTACAGTTTAATTTCTTAGAATGTATAATGCAAATGCAATAAGAAGAAATAATTTCTTTAAACACCTCTCTTAAACGAACTAACTGAAATTTTTGAATGAATTATAGAATCGGGTACTAAAATTACCCATTAGACTGCTTAAATTTCAGGACTATAGTACAATCGGTTCTGGAAAAGAAAGACACACCGACTAGAGCATAGAGAAACCGGAGATTCGCTCCGAGATAGCGGACAGAGGAAAATACTGAGTAGATTAAAGAAAATATGGAAGAAAAATTTAATTAGTAGAATTAAAAGTAGAGCGCATCTATTTGTCACCTCATTGCTTTCGAAAGAAGTGGAGATTTGTCACCAATTTAAGTTAGCGATAAAAGTTAATTACGGAAGTAGTGTGCCCCAATATTTTGCTTTTTAGATTTGAAAAAAAGGGAATTTTTTTCTCCTTCATAGTTTCGCTTGAAAAACACAATTCTTAAAATCTTATTTTACTTAATTATTTCCTTCTTTTTAATTTTGTTTCTGTTAATTTGCTTATGCCAGAAGGACTCCAAAATTTCGATTGTTCATAAAATAAAAATAAAATTTACTTAAAATATTTAGGAAATTCTAACTTATAGTGTCTTCAGGTACTCTTCCATTTGAAATATGAGTACCCTAGCGTGTTGAAAAGTGATCAAATTTTCGTTTAACAATTGGCTTTACAACTCTTTTTACAACTTCTGCTTGTGTTATGGTCAGAAACTGATTGAAAATTGTGTTACTGCCAGGTACAGGACCGTAGCTTGATCTTACTAGCTGGTTGGAAGGTGGTAATGATTGAAGTTTGCTTTGTCATCATGCACAGAGTTCTAACAGAGTTAAATAGTTTTAAAACAGATAGATTTAACTAGTAAAATAATAGTCAAACCTCTGAAAACAAGACAAACTCTTTCCCACACAGTTAAAGAGTGTCAGCAGTAATAATAATTAATATAATAAACTACAAACGCGTGTAAATTTGTCAGCATCGATCAAATCAAAGTGATATTTTAAGATGCTAACTATATAAGAAAAATTTTTTTTTGTTTAAAATTGAAAATAAAACTTAATCCTATGAAAAATTTTATACTCTTAAAAAATGTCTTTGAAAAACATTTATTATTATATCTTTAAAAAACCTAACTTTTTAAGCACATTCCAATGATTCTGTTCTATTATTTAAAGGATTAAAAAATCTACATTTGAAAGGAATTATCCCCAAAACGTCTGTATAAAGTTTGTAAAAAATTTATAATTTATGAGGAGGCTCCCCTGCATATACTTTACTCTTTGAAACAATATACACAATTATAAATTATTATCTAAAAATAAATAAATATTTATATGAGTTCTTATAACCTAACCTCTTAAAAATATTTGTTGCATAATGAAGCTCTGAAATTGTTGATACAACTGATACATACATAAATAGTCAAAGAGGTTCATAAAAAATTTTGTGATATGCATCTATGTAAATTTTATACAGTGGAAGAGTTATCAAAACGTAGTAAATCTAGTAATGGGATTTAGACAGCTTTACGCTTAAAATATTCAAAAATAAATAGATCATTCCCTCTTGGAAAAGTGGAGAAAATATTGAATCAATACTTCTTTAAAATTGAAGGCAGCAGTTTCGATTTCCTCTCTCCGTAAAGAATAAACAACTAGCTTTAATGTATTTTTTGTTAAATGTATGCATACAGAATGATACGAAAGTATTATTGGCTCTCATGCAAACGTATGCTTGCATACGTCTTCACTTTTAAAATATATCAGTTACGTTCCTGAACATGTTCTAAGAAAGATGCGATTTAAAGGAGTATTTTTGATTTTAGAAAAATTAGTCGTAGCTGTGGTTAAGGTTTCCAATCACTTCACCACAGCTTCGATTCCTGGTAGTTTTTAATCCCCATTGGTGCTCCAATACTACCCACTTCAGATTAATGCGTATCAGTTTGTTTTCAAGTAAAGACTGTTTTTGCGCAATGTCACGCACCATACTTTACTTTTAAAGTACTAATTGGAAAAATTATTCATAACCAACACTGCAATAATCAAGCGTAATCCAATTCATTACTATGCATGCTAAACACTAGGGGTTCCACGTTCGGTTGATTACCCAACCGGAACATATTCTTCTGCTCGCAAGAGCCCATGGTCAAGAAAACTTTAATCGGCTTCGGCCCTCCATGAGCTGTCACACCACTGAATTTTGATTTTACAACACAGTCCTAAACCTAGTGTCCTAATGAATCCTTAAAATTTCGGGACAGATTTTAAAACATTTTTTCTCTTCAAAGCAATTTTTTTTAATCCTTCGGCTTGTAATTGTTTCAAAAGGTGAGAGAAGATCACCCAGTTTCAAAGAGTACCGGTTTGTCTGGGAAGTAATGACGGTTCGTGTGCAATATTGACCACATTGCCACTATCTACCGTTGGTGTTGGTCCCAAAATTGTGAAGTCTTAATAGTAATATTGTAATAAAAACTGCATTCGGAAAAAAAAAATTATAGATCGAGTAACGCAAAGAAACTCTACAATTTTGCAACGGATTTCAAGGCATTTTTATCCCTTTTAAAACAAAATTTCTCTGTTTTTTTTTGGCTTGTAATTAATTTACTAGGTGTTGTTATTAATATCCAAATAGGATCTAATATCTCCTGAATTACATCACCATTGAATTTGTTTCAAAGTAACATCCATTTTCCATAACATATCTGTATTTGAATGTAAATGTTTTAGAAAAGAACTTTAGGTTAGGAATACTCTTAAATTCTGACTTCGATAATTTTAAGTCTTTATTTTTCTTAACTATTCACCACAGTCACAATTTTTTTTTATTTCCGAAGCTGAAAAAATTGCTTAAGGAGCAAATTTTAGAAACAACTTTGGGTTCAGAAAGCTCTTCAATTCTAACGTGAGGAGTTTTATAATGGCTTCGATATTTTCCAAGTCTTGTTCCTTTGACAAAGCTTTTGTTTTTGGTGGTAGAGAAGATAAAACCATCCACCATTAACCATACTCTACAGATTTTATTTCAAAAATTTGCCTAAGGAACAAGGTTTAAGAATGACGAAGACATTAAGAATGTCAGGATTGTAGAACATCCCGAAAAGGCTTAAAACGTTGCTTCTGAAACTTTTGCAGCTTGAAACACATTGAATGAGTTATAAGATCAATCTTGGAAATGAATAGCTGCACCTAGTACAATTCAACTGTATCAAGATAAACACGAACAAAAGCATACTTAGAGGAATCGGTGTGGCCAGTGTAGGTTTGGCAGGAGCTTGTTCCATATTGGACAATCCAAGAGTTATGTCCCGAATCGTCTTCGTTTCAGAATAATCTGCTGCTGTTCGTAATGCTGTTGATCTTCGCACAGGACTATTCGTTGGGGATGAATGAGGCACTATTGAGTATAAAAGAAAAATATATATACCACAGTGTGCCAAGAAAAGAAAATTTAAGACCTTAATAATTTTTTATATAATTATCTGATTTACACGTACGCAATAATAATAGCTCCAGGGACTAACTTTAAATACGCTAATTAATCTACACCGAAGAGCCATTAAATTATGACCACCCTGCTAATAACATGTAGGACCACCTTTAGCCCTCAAAACTGCTAGCATCCACCGTAGTATTGATTCCACTAGGTGCTGATAGGTAGTCTAAGGTATCTGGTACCAAGCGCTCACCAACTGGTCCTGCAATTCCCTCACATTGCGAGGAGGTAGCATGGCAGCACGAATTCGGTTTTCCAAGTAGGACCACAAAAGTCCCTGGAATGTTCCTCGACGATTCGACCCTTATGACATGGTGCATGATTCTGTTGGTAAACACCATCCCCCGCAGGAAAAACTGTTGCCATGAATGGGTGAACCTGGTCTGCAACTATGTTCAAGTAGCTTAGAGACGTCAGGGATTGTTCTATGAGGATTATGGGTCCTAATGTGCCCCATGAAAACATTGTTCCTGGGAGAGAAACCATAAATACCTAGGTGATCCCATTGTTATAGATGGAGGGTGGTCATAATGTAATGGCTCTTCGGTGTAACTTAACCTAAGCTTAAATTAGTCTATTCAGTATTTTAACCTTTCGTTCCCACTGAGACACACACTACCCTACAATACTGGAAGAGACACTTACAGTTTTAGATATTTTTCAAATTTATCAAGAAATACTTAAAGGACTTTTTTATACAGTCCCTTGACAAATTATTAGACGATTTTATGTAAAATCTTAATTATCAGGTGATACTATAGAGCTTTAGTGACTTTTATGTGGCTGAAACCGGCTTGCACTTGCTTACATTCGTGTATCAATTAGTTAAAATTGTAATGAAATAAATACAAATAAGAAGTATATAAAAAAATCTTCCAAATAAAAAGCCATTACATGTATGTTTAAATATTAAAGTATTGTACAGAAACTCGTGCAAAACAATGAAGGTATAAAAACACTACAGTGAGTCTAATAATTTGATTTAATTATTACAATATGATATATGATGTAACAAATATTTTATATTTATATAATATATCGTCTAATTTATCCAATCGTCAAATTTGTATATCGCCTAATTTAAGCAAGTTGTACCCGAACGTAAACAAGTGCAAACTGGTTTCAGTCTCGTAAAAACAATAAAACCGCATAGTATCACCTGATAATTAAGATTTTACATAGAATCTTACAGAAAAATAAATACAAATAGAAAGCATCTAAAAATCTCCTGATTAGGCCAGGGACTGTACCCATTACATGTATGTTTAGATATAAAAGTATTGCATATAAACTCGTAAGCATGTAATTACTAAAACACTAAAGTGAGCCTAATAATTTTGTCCAATTATTATAGTATACTAATATAATACCTGGAATAATAAATATTCCATATTTACATAATATATCGTCTAATTTATCCAGTCATCGAATTTATATTACATATCGTCTAATATTACTGCCCTGTTACGGTTGGGTATAGAATAAAAATGAAAAAGTTGCAAAAAAATGATAACAATTTAGAAAGAGAAACTAAAAATTAATGGCCGGGTGAAACATACACTGGTTATCATAAATTAAGGAAAAATCACAAAAATAGCGATAACTCTTTCAAAAGTAAGCCAAACCGTGCAAAATTTGCATATGTTGTCCACTAAGAGTAGCTGAGTAAAATTGCAATATGCAAATTAGTGGCGCTGCACTCGGCTTACGTCATCTGCCTGGAGCATAAAAGTCCAAGTTTGAGAGAAAGCACACAAATTTTACTGTGATTGCGACATTGAAAATCTGAGATAGCCAATTCGTAATAATGACCTCTAGGCATCATTTGCCTGAAGAACTACGATGGAGAGC